TGAATGAATGAGGTGACAACAAGAATATCTGTGGCCAAGAAATGGAAGGGGACTAGTATGCATTTGGTGGTCCAAATTATTAGAAACAGTTTAATGAAAACACTTGCACAGTACAAAAAATGCAGGGTATTAGAAACAATATCTCTGTTAACCTAATTAGGAAAAAAAATATTACTTTGCTAAAAATTCAAATCAAGAGACATCAAGAAAACTACTGATGATGTAGTTTTTGTGGAGTAAAGATTAATAATTCTTTTGAAGGAAAAGATTTAAAAATAGCATTACAAATTAGTTATGGATTATGATATACTATTTCTTATTTAATTATCTGAAGTCCTTGATTGTTTTTATTTTAATGTAATTGTTAGCACTATAACTTTAATGTTTTTATTAATATATTATTTAATTTTTTAAAAATTAGGGTTGAATCATTCCACCTGTTCATTTTTATGAAAAAAACAACAACATAACCACATTCTACAAAAATGTAGAATTTGGTAACATGAAATTCACAGAGGTCAAAATGCCCATTTCCTTTGAAATCAACATTTGCTACATTAAAGGAAGCCATTCACAATCGTTTGTGCAACACAGCCTGCTTTCCTAGTGAGAGGAAATACTAAATCCTGACAGCCTTACCTTATCCAGTATCCGCCCCCCCACACACACACACAAAAGAAAGAAAAGAAAAAAGAATATCCCTCCCCTAAGAATCAGAAGGACTAACACATTTTATTAAAAGGCATAAGCTTTCATGAGCTGCAGCTCACTTCATCAGATGCATAAAGTGGCTACACTGATGTAGGATTTAAACTGGGATGAGACGGGGAAAAGGAAGATAGATTGAGTATACAGATTCAGGTTACATGTGAGTTTACAAGTACCTTATCAATTAACAACTGCAATGTTGGGTTTGTTGAGACCTTTTGAGATTGCCTGAAATTCTTTGATGTATATGATTCATCAATCTCTCACTCAATGGTACTCTTAAAGTCTTACTTTTCCAAAATGACCACCAACAGAGTGTCCTGGGAGGTTGAAATGTTCTGATATTACTAAGTAAAGCAGGCAGAAGATTTTAGCCTTAACCTCATACTCTCAAATGATAGAATAAGACATTCAAATCCTTTTAGACTTGTTAAGAGTCCAACAAGAAAGAGAGAAAAATGAGCTCTTAGATATGCTATCCTCTAGATATGTTGGATTGTAAGTCTTATAATTCCCACTCAGCTGTGAATTTTAACTATTCTGCTTGGGAATTATGGGACCTGGAAGTCAAAATTTCCTTTCCTAAGGAAGGCTGAGTCCTCTTTGATTCTACTGTTCAGAACTAGATTGGCAAAGCATGCTTTCCATACTGGCTCTTGTTTGAGAAAATCAAAGCAAGTATGACAACAGCTCTTTTGGATAAAAAACCTTTTGGATTCTGAAAAATGGAAATTATAAGAGGAAGTCATTTCTTGCTTCCAAAACATAAAATAATAATGCAGTCTTTAGTAGTTGTGCAGCCTTGGCAGAGTCCTAAGAATATTAAAGGTCAGTACAGAAACTTCATTAGCCTCCTCAAAAAGAGAAAGAACAAGGCAGGGCATGAGGGAGAGAACAGCAACAATTAAAATATATATATATGAAAAAAGAGGGTGTACATATTTGCATCTTCAAAATAGATTATATGAGACACATACATAAAAGAACTCATTCACTAGATGAGAATGGCTATGTAATTTGTAAGTGTCTATACTGAACTTAGAAACTAACCGGCTCCTGGGATAACTTGCTAATTTAATATAGAGTGCTTTTGGAAATCCCAAATCTTGTGTTTCTGGTCTTATCAAGACACCTTATTACCAATCTTGCATAACTTGATACTTTCCAGTTGCACTGGATTACAACTCCATTGTCTCCAACCGGCATGGCAACTTAGGCAAAGCTGGCATATATATTTTATGATTCAGGGATTTATTTAATATCTTACTAGCCCTGTTGTGAAGATGGTCCTTAGGAACTGGAAAATATACTTGACTTGGACAGGGCTGCACTCAAGCTTAAGGATCAGGTTCACAACTTTGGGGTCCTCCTCAATCTGGCACCAAAGGGGCACACTTACCATCTTTGGCTGATAAACCAGCTGAACCCAGGCTATTCAAATCTCAAAGCTGGATTATTACAATTTTCCCCTTGTATGATGGCTATTAATGGTGGATGGGAAACCACAGATGGCCCAGAATGCAGAAGCATGGGTGACAAGTACTGCTTCTAGGGTGTGCCATATATGTTCAAACTATTTTTAAAAATGTTAAAACTGTGCACATGGATGTCCATGAGACGTGAGTAGGCATGTCAAATTATTATTATTGCTATCTAGAACCATTGGGATTGGGTGAAATTTAAGTTAAATAAATAAATAAATAAATAAATAAATGTTGTGCACGGCACACATATTTATACAGGTCTATTTATATTGATGTGTATATTTACAGTCCAAGACCAAATCACAGAATTTAAAAATACAGCATACCATTAATACATACATGTGTAACAATATATATGTATATAAAAGGAAGAAACCCTATAAAATTAACAATTCACTGAAGGCACCGAGCAGTTTCTATAAGCTAAGGCTATAAATAAAAAAAATGCTACTGCCTTTGAAACATCTGGGTACTGATCATTTAGAAAGAATACCTCAATCTCCTCATTATGAGTCAAGAAATTTCTGCTAAGACATTTGTTCTCTGTCTTGTTAATGCAACAGTAGAACGAATTCAATATTGACACATCAGAGAAGCAAATATTAAGATGCAGCAGTGTGGGCTTACATGCTTTGATGGGGCAAGTCTCACTTTTGATTAATGAAATTTTTGTAACAAAAGCATCACTGGTGATTATCTGAAAAAGCTTCCTTCAGACTGGACACACTAAAGGGAACATTTCTGAGAGATTCTGATGGCAAAATGCAATAGGACTATACAAACAGGAGATATATCTTCTATATACTACTAAAACTCTCATGTCTGTAACCTTCAAGTGGGCAAAACAGTGT